TGCCAATAGAAATTTAACAATTGGCATTAGCCTTATCAAGACTTTGCTTGAGGTGCGTGCGTTGTACTTTCTTTCTAATTTAATTACATTTTGGAAGTTTGATTGCGAAATCATCCGATAATAACTTTTCACATTATATTTGAAAACGTTACAAATATATATGCAATGTTTGCCTAAAATTATTTAGCATCATTAATAAAATACATCCTCCAAAAACTTCTCAGCGATTTCAAATATTTATTTTACTATAATTTCACAAAAACCCTCGTAAAATCACCACAAACTAATCAGTTATATATGATGGTACCAACAAACGAATTCCATGGTTAAGTAATAAACAGATATACTCGTAATTAATAATTGTCACGTGATACTTCTTAGCAAATAAATAACTTTTCAGGTTACTATTTAATTTACAATATATGCTATTCGTTATTTGAATATAAAAAAAAAAGAAAGAATATTATTTCAATATAAAAAAAGAAAGAATAACAGCATTTTTTTATGAAATTATTGATAAATATTAGGTATTCAATTCATTGTACATATATATAAAAATTATATAAAGACAAAGAAGAGACATCTAGTGTTAATAAAACAAATTTCAACAGTATTAATTAGAATACTTATGAGATTCAAAGTTCGATTCTTATATCTTTTTCAAATACCTCGTCGAAAATTATAAAACTAGATCATTTTTAGACTTTTCCTATCTCGTGGTGGAGGTATCACAAAAGCAAAAATTAAATACTACAATAATAAGAATTCAGGAAGACTAAATAAATTAACAATCAAATTTTTGATCCCCTACCCCCTAATTCATGCCATTGAAATAAATACAGAGTATCTAACTCTTGCAAGGTGGCGATCTTGTTGCATAAGCATAATATGTAAGCATAACCAAAACTGGCATTATTCTCATGATTAAGACAAAAAGTCTACCTACTCGATGCTTAGTGTTAGGCTTGGTGTAAAAGCTTCAAAGCAAAGCCGGAATATATATATATATATATATATATATATTAAAATGATTAAAGGTGTTTCCAACTATATATTCCAACTTAATCGTTGAAGCGCAAGAGTAAATTGAAACCGTACTTAAATGGCATGAATGTTGAAAATCATTGGAGATTCCTTCCAACACTTCTTCTAAGGTGATCTTTGTTTCAAATGTATATGTATTACTTGTCCAGAATTATCTATTTTTACGAATTAACTTATAAAAAATTTTATCAAACAAGCATTTTTGCTTCAATTTCATCAAAACTGTCATAATTGACAGCAAAATAGTTAATAATATGTAACAATTATTAATAATGAGTATGATGGTTGATTAATAAATAAAAATATTTTAAAATTATATTATGTTATACTCACATAATGCTTATTATACCAATTAACAACTTTTTAAACTATCAGTTACTTTATAACATATAGTAATTATATAAATAAGATTTGAATAGTGCATCTTTTGCGATGCTACCAGCAAGTATTAGATACCAAACATAAGAAAAATCTAATATATTAAATAAAAATAAAATATTTGAATATGAAAATTCAATAGAGGCAAAGAAGAGGCCTTAGTGCTAAGGGGAACACATGGGACTATTTCTTTCTTTATTTGAAAGACAAAACAATTTTTATAGATAGTCATGTAACAAAATTTTAAATTCTTTATTAAAATATATATGAGATTATTTAATATTTAATTTTTGAATCTCTTTTTTCCACACTTTGGCATACATCTTATATATCCAAAAGATATATAAATGTAAAACTGGTTACATTGTTACAACTCCTAAGTATATGTAGGAAGCCTCATCTAGCCTCTAGTTGTGTTGTCATTTCATTAATGCTAAAATTTCTTTTACTGCTTTTGCAATCTCAGTAGTCAACATTAAGAGCACAGTAGACATGTTTGGTCTGTCTTCTGGACTTTTTTGTACACACAAGAGACCAACTTGTATACATCTTAATAACTCTAGCATTGGTGTTGAACCCTCTGCAAGTGGATCTAGTAGCTCCAAGGCCTTATCTTCAGCCCAAAGTTTCCATGCCTAACATGGGTCAATGCAACATTTATTACAAATCAACTGTTGTGGGAGAAAATGAAAAAGCTGTAAAAAAAAGCAAATGATCCATTTTGTAGAAGAAGATAAAGGGAAAAAATAGGTTATTTTGTAAAAAATGTTGTCGCTAGAGAAGAGAAAATATGACTGTAAATTATAAGTCTCTCATAATAGTATTAGATGCATGGCAAAAAATCTCAATATGCCTTGTTTATCATAATTGTTGGACCAATTTTCAAATGTTTCAACAAATGTTCCTTGTAAATGGAAACTAAATTTTTTTCATATTGTGATGATTATGTTTATGTTTATGTTTTTGAAAATTATAGATAATAATATATGTGCTAACATCTAAGATAATACAGATTGGAAGAAATTGTTCATGCTAACAATTTGGCAGTTGCAAGCGAATTGATTACATATAAGAAAACAAGGACACCACCAAATACTACCTTTTTTAACTTTGAAAAAAAATGAACAATATCCTTTAATAAACACATTTTTCACTTATTTTGTATGGAAATGAAAATTGAAAATAGAGATAAGAAAAACATAAATAAGAAAGGAGTAGGAAATAAAAAAGGTTTAAAATTTCATAGTTCAAACTTACATGACCAAGAAGATTAAGATCATGTTTAGGATGTCGAAACATCCTATTCCTTTGTCCCGTCAATATCTCTAAAATTATTACTCCAAAGCTAAACACGTCCAACTTTGTTGAAAATACACCATCAATTATGTACTCTGGTGACATGTAACCACTAATCAAAATTGAAAAAATATTATAATTAGTTAAATAAAAAAACAAACAAGTTAACATACATAACCTAACATTACAGATTCATGCAAAATTTATGATCCAATTTATGTTGGAAAAGATGAAAAAAGAGTCAAGATAAATATTATTGAAGATAAATTTCATTTGTAAGTATTGTTTTACTAAATCTTTAACGATGAAAGAAAAAAGATTTTGGGATGCGTACTAAGTTCCAACCACCCTTCTTGTTATAGTTGATGATTGATCTCCTCCAACAACTTTAGCAAGACCAAAATCTGAAATTTTAGGATTCATCTCAGAATCTAATAAGATATTACTGGTCTTAAGATCCCTATGGATAACTCTCAACCGTGAATCTTGGTGAAGGTAAAGAAGTCCACGAGTAATTCCTAAAATAATATCTAAACGTCTTCTCCACGTGAGCAATTTATGTTTCTTGTTCTTTGCACCTGAGACAAACAAAATGACCATAAGCACTTATAAAAAATTTAGTGCTATTTTGTTGTGAAACAAATTTATATTATTAAAAATTACTTTATGTACAAGTTTATATGAGCTTGTGTAATAAGATATCTGGGAAGAACATACCAAATATAAACGAATCTAAGCTTCCATTGGGCATGTACTCATAAACCAACATTCTTTCTTCTCGATGGATGCAACATCCTAAAAGTCGGACTAAATTGCGGTGTTGAAGTTTGGCTATCAAAATAACTTCATTTTTAAATTCATTAACACCTTGTCTGGAGTTGATTGATAGTCTTTTCACAGCTATCTCACTTTCGGTTGATAAATAGCCCTGTATATATATATATATATATATATCATGATAAATATATAAAAAAAAGATGTTGCATACTGAAAATGGGTAAAACAACTGTACTTTCATTATTTTCATTTTTTTTAAAATAAGAAATAGTAACTAAACCAAACATGTTTCCCAAATTTTGAAAATCTGATAATAAAAATCATTTTTAGAAAAGTCGAAACAAGAAACGAAAACAATCTAATTAATCCTTTTTGCAATAGAAGAATTTATACTGTGTATGGATCTAAAATTAATAAAGGAAAACAATCAAAGTTGAAAGTAAATTCCCTTACACAATCTGTTTCCCGCATTTATTTTTGATTGAATAAAACAGGAAATATTTTTCCATTTCCTTTTCTTTTTCATAGAAAAATTAAAATCAAAATACAATATTAACATAGGATGAAAGAAATTTACCTTGTAGACTGGCCCAAAACCACCTTCTCCAATTTTATTTTCTTTAGCAAAGTTGTTAGTAGCACGTACAATTGTTGCCAAGTCAAAAATGGGCAATTCAAGGCTGCGTTCTTCTTCACTAGCTTGCAATATATTCAATCCTACTTCTGTATACAGAATGACTGATAATTTGTAAATTAATGATGCAATAATTATGAATGGTCAACCAATTATTCAAATGATGCAAGTAAAACCTACAAAAAAGAAAATGTTAAACATGGGCTACTGAAAATGACAATCTAGTAAGTCATTCTTATTTTTTGGAACAACTTTGATATACAAAACATATTGAAGTCTAATAGCTACGGATGGAATAAAAAGAAAAACTACGGATGAAAGTGGAAAAAAAAAAAGAAAATAACAATTCTCATACCTTTTCTTCTCTTAATTACAAACCAGACCACTAGAGAGACAATTGAAAGTGAGATTGCTACAACAGACCCCACCAGTATGCCCACCTTCTTTCCACGAGAATTCTGCGTCTTTCTTTCTACCTGTTGAGCTGGGAAAAAAAAAAAGGCCAATTTGATTAAGTGCATTGAAACTAAAAACAAACTTTATGATCAAATTCAATTCAACTTCAATTTGATTTTGTTCTTCTTCTTAATTGCAAAATGTAAATTAATTTAATAAATTAATTCCGCCCTACCTAATTCAACTGCATCAACTCGTACATATAAGTCTAGACCCAACTCTTGAATCTTAAGTACATCCATTAAGGTCCCAAACCACATGATGCAGTCCCCCTCAATCCCATACAGTCCTCTATTTGCGACAGCGTAAGCCGTGCAAGAACAGTTGCCCAAACACTTCCCCGCACACCCTGCCAAGCTCAAGCCCGTCTGAACCTGGACCACTGACGTATCCGGAATCTTAGTGTTTGAAACTTTCAAGAACCCTTCCCTGTTACTGCACATGGACAACTCGACTCTTTTCTTCCCACAGCCGCCCGAAAAATCCCGCTCGTACCACTCCGCCGCTGATTTGGGTTCGTATCCAGGAAGGCACGAGCATTCGAAGTTATGCCCATTATCCGGAGACAAAGGCCATTAGCCCCACAATGGCCATACTCATCACATGCCGCATCTGTAAATCTAAAAAGCCTGACCCACTCACTCTTGTCCTGGTCCCATGTGAACATCGCTCCGTGGCCGGACGTATCCACGAACATTCTAGACGCAATTGAAGAATTAATCAAGCTATACATGTGAAAGACTTCCTTATCGTTGTCAACAGTGGTGAAATTCATTCTGTAGTCGTAACTCAGAAAGGAATTGCGGAGCACAATCCACGGCGAGGACCGCCACAAGCGGGTGGATCCCCTATACAGAACATGTTGGGTCGACCCGACCGGCTCAACCCTGAACGAGTATACCCCTTTAGCCGGGTCGTCTCCGGATTTCCAAGACGTCAAAATCCGGTTCAGGCCGGTTCTACGGTCCAGCCCAAACTTCATTTCAGGCAATAAAGTATCCGTGGGATGATCAAAACTCTGCCACGTTATAACACTTCTTTTCTCTCCGCTGAGTAATATCAAGTTTCCGGAATCCAGGAGCCGAGCGGCGGAGCTGGTTGTTCCCGCGATGGCGGAAACGTTGGGCCGCCAGAGGGGAGTGTTCTGGTTGCTCTCTTGGACGGCGAGGTTTCCGTCTTCTCCGATTAATAAAACTCCGGCGGACCCGTTAATGGGTCTGTCTCTATTTGCGACCCACACCACGGTCTGCTCTGAGACCTTGTAGTACCATATTCCCACATAACGAAAACTTGATTTTCCGGGACTGAAAAAACCAAGAACAAAGTTTTTGCCCTCTGAGATTAGAAGCTCTCCGTCTTTTAAAGGTCGGGACGGGGTTATCGTGTCGACGGAGATGCAGGACCCGAAGGAGAGAAATAGAAGAAGCTTGAAGACCCATTTTTCCGGCTTCATCATTTTGTTTTGGGGAGTCTTCCTCATACTGCTGTTGGTGATTGAAATTGTGGGCGTCACAGAAGAAATTAAGGGCCTCTGCCCGGGAGAGAAATAGGACAAGCTTGAAGACCCATTTTTCAGTCTTTATCGTTTTGTTTTGGGAAGTCTTCCTCGCACTGCTGTTGGTGATTGAAATTGTGTGCGTCACAAACGAAATTAAGGGCCTGTTTGGTTTGCGAAAATGTTTACCCTTTTTCTTTTTTATTTTTATTTTTTGAAAAGCAGTTTTCATTTCAAAGTTTTTAAATTTAGAAAATATGTTGGTAAAATTTGCTATTTTCTATTTTCAAAAAATAAAAATAAAGAAAATATGTTTGGTTAGTCAATTTTCAATAAATTGAAAATGTGGATTTAATTGAATGAATTTAGGGTTTTAGGGTTTTTGATAAGGGTTTAATTGAATAAATTAAAAATTTTGGAATTCAAAATGAAATCTAAAAAATTTAGGAACTATATTACAAACCTAGAGAAGAGATGAGAGACCAAGTAGCAATTTCAAAAACTTGCCACAGTGTCCATCCCTGACCTCCAGACGGGTTGCAATTGGGTCTAACAGACCTGATCGCGACCCGATTTTAATCCGCTGCTTTTTTCATCTTTTTTCTAAAAAATTTTTACATGATTTTGTCTTGTATAATTCGAAAAACGAAAATCCTAAATCAATTTGAAGAAATTTTATTTCGAACTCAACTTGTTGAAGATTCCAACTTATTGAAGAACAAAAACCCTAAATCCGACCAAGATTTCTGACTTATTGAAGGTAGTGTGTTCAACTGGTGTTCGTCAGAGATGAAGAATGTTGTCGTCGGCAAACAGTTTGATGAGAAGAACAACTTGGTCCAATTGAAAGCAGTGGATCAATGATTAGAAACCGTGTTTGCGTTTGTGGACAAGAAGAGCCAATAAGAGGGGAGACGAGATCGAAGTAGAGTGAAGAAGAAGATCAAAGAAGAGAGGAGACGAGAACGAAGAAGAGCGAAGAAGAAGATTGAAGGCAAAACTTGCAGGAGACAGGAGATGCGATGCGAGCACAGTAGCGGGGGAATGTGTGATATGACAAAGATACTGAAAATGCACGAAATTACATTCGTGCCACTGTGTTTTCAATCTTTCAATGAAAACAAAGAAAACAACTTTTCGTTGTTTTCTCTTTTCAACCAATTTTCAAAAACGTTTCTTAAATATGAAAATGAAAACACTAAACCAAACATGTTTCTAGGTCTGTTTCCCATTTTTATTGAAAATGAAAACAAAAAACCAGCCAACCAAACAGGTCCCAAGTTTTTTTGCTCCTGACTTTCTATCTTCTGTATATGGAACAGGTCCATGTCAGTTAGGATCCCACCTTAGATTATATTGAGCGTCAATTCAATGATTCAAGTTGCTCTAATACTTATCGTCTGATATACGATATGTTGCATAAATATTGGCATTCCGTGACAATCGGAGATGTATAGTTCTGTTGTAATATATTATGTTGGGTATGGGAGTATCTTGTATTGTACCTATATACATGTGACTATCGTGCTGCGAAAATTTTTTTAAAAAAAGAAATCAAACCTGATCAATAATTTTCTAGAATGTAAATAATGCTAAAAAACGGATCATAAAATAATAGTTAAGGGCCTGTTTGGTTGCCCTGTTTTCTGTTTTCATTTTCAAAAAAAATAGAAAAGAGGTCTGAAAATATGTTTGGTGCCTTATTTTCATTTTTACATTTAAATAAATTTTCTGAAATTTAGTAGAAACGGGAAAAGGATGGAAAGCAGTTTTCTACCTTTTCTGTGAAAATTTTGAATAGGCGGTGGCATAATTGTAAATATGTGAAAGCCTTGTTTTATCTAACAGATGCTATTCCCGTCTCTTTGTTCGTTCTACGCATCTTCCCTTGCATCTCCCTTTTCTTCCTCGTTGCGCCTCCCTTTTCTTTCATCTTTGCTCCCTTCAATTGACAAGCCTTCTTCTTTTCATCAAACATACGACGATCTTCAACATGGTAATCATCTATTTCATCTTAGGCTGAACTCGGCTTCTCATTCTGAAGCTCTGTTCATCGATTGGCCTTAACAGCATTTACGAGTATTCTCTTCTTCTTGTCGATCCATCGATCTGAGAACTCTTAGGCTTGTTCATCTCGTTGGAAGGTAAAATCATCTCTATTTTATTATTTTCCCTCGTTTGATTTCTTGTAACTGTTCATATAAACCCTAGATTTTCAACTTATGTGATTACAGACATTCTCCAGTTTCTTTGTGCAATCTCAAGCGACTTTTGATTAGCCACGGTGAGAGCTTTTTGATTAGTGCATTATATCTTCCCTGTAATTGCTGTAATTGCTGTCTGAGCTTGTCTGTAGAATAAATATTCAGATATATTCTACCAACTATTATCACATTTGAATATGGAAAGACTAAGGGAATGTGGGTTGATTGTTGTCTGTAGAATAAATATTTAGATTAATATCTCATTTGGATTATGCTAGTTGTTATTTGTTCAAATAATTCCATCGTACATCTCCAGCTTGGTGATTGCCGCAACCAATATCCCACTTCCTTATTGTCTGGAAGTTCTGATATAGCTTTGCATTTTGCATATAGTATTAAAGAAGTTTTACGGAATAGCACTTTTTTAGCTGTTAAAATTAAAAAATGGTCAAGCTCTGCTTTTGGGAGGGCTGTGAGGTGTTTCATCTGAATTGCTTTAGTGTAAGATGCTAGTGCATTTTGAAATACGAGAGAATCTAGTTGGAGTGGTGCAGTTTTGGTTTCTAGTGAAGTTAAGTGCCAAGAAATGTATTTATATCAGTGTGATATATAGAAACTGTTTAGATGTATGATAAATGGGCTGTGCTTTTGCAAAGATAGCTTGGTGGCAACTCTTTGATTGCCCAAAAGAAAATGAAAAAAAAAAAAAAAAGAAACCCAGGATTTTATTTTAATAATTTTCAAATCATGATGCATGAGATAATGAAATGGAAATAACAAACACATTCTAGCAGCACTGGAATATTTGAACAACATATGATTCAAGACTCCTCATCCTCCGTGGCACAACATACATAGATGGGGACCTCTCTTGAAGAGGTTTAAACCAGAAGAGACATTGCAGATTATCATGCATTTTAATAAATGAATAAAGTTGTTGATTTTATCATGCATCTCCATTCCCTCACAATTCCCTGCGCCTTCTCCTTTGGCCAGCACATGTTTAATTGTTTATCATTAGCAGTAGTAATTTGTGTTTATAGTAGCACATGTTTAATTGTTTATTTATTTGTTATTATCCTTAGAATAGGATTTATCTTGTTTATTAGATAGGGTTTATCATATTTGAATTGATTTTTCAATTAGAATTGGGATTGCTTTTCTGTAAACAGGTAACTTGTAATCAGTTCAGGTAGATTCAATTCAATGAAATCTTTGTTTATTCTCCAAATGCCCTCAACTATTAAATTTAAAAATTAGAAAGGAAAGAGGTAGGCCATGTTCAGTACTAAAAAAAAGAAAAGGATGGGTTAGCCTATGGGGAAAAAATGTGGTTTATTTTGAGTTCAAGCCAATTAAAAAGCCTTTTATTGCAATTTATAATTATTTTTAAAATAAAAATAAAAATACTTAAAAAAACATGTGCTATTTCATTTGTCTTGATTATAGGCTCTAAAATAAATGTACAGTTTCTACACATAGATTAGAGGAAAGGAACACCTTAAGCGAATACATTGTCCCCCTAATTAACTAATCTAACTTTTAAAAAAGCATAGGACTTTTGTGGGGGTAGGTGTCCTGATTGGAAAGGGTCGGCCCATGCTGGTTGTCATCATTGTGGGGTGGTGGCCCAAGAAAACCATTTCATGTTTTGACTCCATTGAGCACAACTTTTTTATTATTATTTTTATTGGGTAAGAAAACATTGAACCAATTGTATAAGGAGACGTTTTGGAGGATGTTGTGGCCACGTGGATGTATCCTTAGTGGCTGATCGGCAGACACCCTTTTCATTAAAAATTGAAAAGAAAATGTTGACTCTTATTGTTCTCCATTTCTTTTAACTTAGACATGAAGATGAATGAATATATCTCTATTTTAAACTTGTTTTTTTATATTATTTGATTAATTTTTTACTATTATTTTTACGTATAAATGTGTAAAATCTCTGATGCTTGTTTTATGAATAAATATATTTATATTGTTTACTTTGTATTTCGTTATCAATTCTCGTATGTGGATTATTTATTTATAAGAACCTAATCTTATATACTAAGATGGGAGGAAAAACCGAGAAAGGAGATAACATGGAATAGTCGACCCAAAATACAAAATTATTCATTGAAATAGTTTATGATCGTGTGAAGAAGAAGCAATTACAAGGATCGACCTTTAAGACAGCAATTTGGGAAGATATAAATAATGAATTGACAAGTGTTACTGGAGAAAATTATGGTGTAGAAAGGCTAAAGGGAAAGTTTAATCGCCTACGCCTTCAATATCATGAATTTTCAACTTTGCTAGCTCGTACAGGAGTTACATGGGACTCCGAATCTAATAAAGTTAATGTCCCTGAAGATGTATGGCAAGATTTGTATACGGTATGTTCAACTTTAGTTTAAATAATATCATTAGATATAGTATTTAAGTATTTACATATTGTTAAAATTGTTCATTTATATTTTACAGAAAGGGAAGTACTACAAGCACTTTAAGAAGCTAGGATTTGAGCACAATTATGATATCCTTGGTGAAATATTTAATACTAGCACAACAACTGGTAAATTAAGTCAAGCATCTACTCACCAGTCACCAACCTCAGATGAAGAGAAAGAATTAGAGGATAATTTTCTTTCTAGAGGTGTGCATGTTGATACACCTATTGTTGATATTGAGGGTGATGATCCAAAAGAAACTAGTGGAAAAAGAAAATCCATAGGATCTTCAAGTGAGTGCCGACGTAAAGAGATAAAGGGC